GCATAGATTATCTTACTCTCCTAATTATCATTGTGTCAGAGTGAACGAAGTTTCCGCTCATTATATTCATAAAACTTGTTAAGGCGCCAACGAAAGCACACACACACACACGCGCATATATATATATATATACCTCTTTCTGTAATCATAGTTGTACATGTTCAACTTGTCAACTTTACTCGATTGTTTTAATTGTCAAAATTAATTATTTGAAATGATTACACTTTGAAAAGGAAAAGAAAAGGAAAGTAAAGTATAATTAAGTAACAATAGAGAAATTCTTGTATAAAGTTGTCAAATATTAATTTCGATTAAAATATCCAATATTGAAAGGATGACTTCAATTGATCAACTTATTAATTTGATAATAATAATAATAATAATGTTTTTGATTAAGATCATGAATCGATCAATGTTAGACTACTATTGAACATTTAGAAGTACTAGATGACTGTTTCGTTCTAGTACAGTATTTCTCAGCAGTGCTCTTATCCACGATCCTGCATACAGGATTTGAATGTAAGATATTTGGTCTCGTGCAACAATACTTAAATTGTAGACTGTTGAACCGGGATCTAACGGTATTAATGCCTAATCTCAGCTATACCGCGAAATTCTGCGACTATGTTTTATGGTTTTCAATAGATAACTTCCTTATACTCGACACAGATTAGCACCATTGTTCACGACTTCCAAGTATTCAATAGTAGTCAAAGATTGATCTATTCAAGATCTCAATAATCTCTACAACATATGTGTTGAATTGAAGGTGATATAATTGTATATCCATTTCTAATACATTTTCATTTAATCATATCAACGCTTTTCACTTTCTTATTACTCATTAATTCCATCTAAAACATTAACGCTCACAAAAAAAACAAAAAACAAATATATAACCTTCTCATTGTATTCGCCATTCTACAACTTCTAGTATTTGGACAAAATAACTTTCATCATTTACTAACAGTATTCAAAGAGTTACTTTAATTATGTACAACTCATGTCATTATTTTATCTTGCCTAGATTACTTACTTAAGCGTGTTACTTGCAATGGAGCATAGGCCACCGACCAGCATTCTCCAACCCACTCTGTCTTGGGTCTTCGTTTCCAGTTCTATCCAATTTTTGTTCATTTTTCTTATGTCTGTCCCCGTTTCTCGAAGTAATGTGTTCTTTGGTCTTCCTCTTTTCCTTTAGCCTTGAAACGGTATTGCCTAAATATAACCTCTAAATTATAAGTATACATTCAACACTTATTCATATTCACATATCCTTTATTTACAACTGGAAACTGATCGATCTGTGGTTATTTATTTTATTTATTTATTTGAACACATAAATATTGGTACAAATGGAGCACCGAATACATATGCGCCACACACAAGTCACTTGATTTGTGTGTGAGCTGTGATATTGACCGGGTGCTCGAACTGAATCAGGTGGTTTCCTTAGGGAGTCACACCCAGAGTCTTCGACTCCAAGGTTTAATCCACAAGGTGGTGGAGCAGTGTTACGTGGCCAGTAACCAACAACATGTTCATACGCCATTCATTCCTTTAGGATCATGGAACCCATCTTACATCATTGGTTTGGAATCAGGGTTTTCTAACTCATGTAGATGGATCCACCGTATCCACTAACTTGATTAAAACGCCGGACATTCGCTTTTTATCCTCTCAGTTTCATAGATTAGAGCACTTGACCTTAAACTGATTGAATTACAGTTTTGAACCATGCTTTATACAGATCTGTTTAGATAGTTTAGTAGGGTAGTATCATTAATTCTCATACAATTAAAGTGTATGAATTATTATTTACGACTGAATCGAAGTATACACTTCCTCTATTATTGCTATTTTAATAATGGAATCTAAGATACATGTTTACTAGAGTATTAGTGTTAACAATTGATTCTACTGTTAACTATAATCCAAGTATAATGTAACTTGTAACAAACAAACAAAAAAATGTCTATAACTAGACAATTAGCTCAACTTACTTACTTACGCCTGTTTTAATTAAATATTGAAACTACATGATAACTATGACTGAAATTTACCGAAAAAGTATTGGAACTTTGATTTCTTATAGAGTCATATTGTAATCATACTCTTTTCCCTCCTACATTTCCTCTCTCTTTCTCTCTCTCTCTCTCGCTCTGTGGGTGTGTGCGCGTTTGTTACCATGTGAACATAACAGGTGTCAATTGATCTTATTTTCTTATTAGTGATGAAACTATTTAGATCTATTGAATGATAAGATGGATAATTGTGTAACACTAGAATTATTTTATTTGTGTTATCACAGTGGATTGTTTTATCATACATTCTTTCTTGTATTAATTCAACCATAACTTGTGTGTGTGTGTGTTGTGCGTACGTACGTACGTGCGTACGCGTTTGTACATTTTATTGTGTATACAATTTTTAGTTATATAGTTTATAGTTGAAATGTAAAAGAAAAAAATCAACTTTGAAAATTGGATTTCATTTGTTAACATGGCAACAATACTAACTAATTGTGTTACTTATCCATTTTATATTTATTACCTTTTTGTCAAGTTTATTTCTAACGCCATGGTGTCTGTGTGTGTTTGTTTGTGTGTGTGTGTGTGTACTTTTACAATATTACTAAACATAACCGATAGCAGAACATATTGCAGAGAATGTGTTGTTTTAATAATTGAAATGATACTAATTCTTCAAAGGAGTAAGTATACAATATATATATGTTTAATAAAATATAGTCACTAAATAATTATATACAATTCCACTTGACGACATTGTTTGTTTTATCAATATAGGATTGTAGAGATTGTTGAATATAGATTTATGTCATGAATGTGTTGACTACAATTAAAAAGCTGGAACTAGTATTAGTAGGACGATCGTTTCGTCCTAATATAGGACTCCTCAGCAGTGCGGGATACTGTTTTTTTTCACAAAAAAATTAAGTATAATTATACCCAAGTTTGACTTGATCATTGAATGAATTGTTTATATTAAAACAGTAATCGTATATATTTGTTGAATCTCAATGAGTAGAGCATTCAATTGGTGATGTTTTTTTCAGTTTAACATAAGTCGCTTCTTCAGTGAATAAACAAACGTATATGAAGGAAAATTCTCCCTTCACCCACCAAAAAAATGAACCGATTTCCTTCACCAACTGGATAATCATGTCTTTGGCTGGTGACCTTTTACGAGTTAACTTTTTGAAAGTTTGTTGTGAGAATTTATAACTGTTGGAGACTAACTTACTTACAATTGGATTGATCATTAAATGAGCACCAGTGACTTCTCTACAATCACTACTGGAATAACTCAACGATAATGTTTGAAATTTTGAAGCTGGGAATTTCGGTTCCATCAAGATTATCGGACCTTGGGTTAGCTGCTTTTAGTCTTACTGCTCTTCAACCAACCTGTGTGGCATGATAGAACCTTGAGGAGTGATTGTTCCAGCCAGTATAGCTCGATTGGTTCAAACTAATACGAAACCTAGAATGAAAAGGATTTCATACTGACTATCTCTTACTACCCAACATTTCAGTGAACTTCAACTATATGTCACAAATAACTTTTGGGAATGATCGTGGGCAATATATTTAATGAAGTTAATACTATAAATCACTAGGATAACACTTTCCATAGAACCTTAAAGATCTTTCGTAGGGTCATAAATGCATATTGTTAAAGTCTTAAACGAGGATTAGACAGTTGTTTGTCAGTGCTCCTTGGTTTTCAATAGTTATCTAGCTGAAATTACTTTGATAACAGTAATGAACAGATTTTATAGCTAAGCAATTAATGTTTAGTACGTTTAAATTAAGCTAAATGATTATTGTAGATGGATCATAACTGTTATTCAATAATATTTGTCAATGACTTCATGAATATTTATAGTATGTTTGGACTTTGTAAACAATAACCATTCTATAAATCATTGTTGATCTAAATTCTTAACTCAAATCTTCTATATTGAATTATATACATCAGCTTTGATTATTGTAGAAAGTTAAGGGTGAATAAACTAAAACATGACATCAGTCCATAAAATGCACTCATTTCTGGTCTAAATCATGTTGGTAGATGCAATCTACTTGATTTAAGGTCTTCACGACTCTGGGTGACATGGTTCAGAATCGATCATAATGGCGTAGGTGTATACACTCTTTGTCTTCACTTAAACTGTAAGATTAAAATTACTTTATGCCTTACTTTCTACAAACTAATTCTTTCTTCCTGTACTATATTCCTATACACAATCTGTCTTTTATATATTAATACCATTGAAGTAATTACTTCTATGAATTTGGTGTTTACCTTATAATGCTTATGAGGTATGGCAACATGAACTGATGCGTATAGGTGCCTGGTTCTATGTTGTGGATGACTAGTTGACTGACACTTGAAAGGGGGGTCTTACATTTTCTCATTGTTCACATATGATTGTTTCTCTAATATTCTTATAATGATTACGATGAGTTGCGTAATCTCTCTCTCTCACTCCCTCACGCTTTGTTTATTACCGTTTATCAAAATAGACTTTGTGTTAGGCTAGTTTTAATGACAGCTGTAATTCGTTGTTTGTTTGTTTGTTTATCTGTTTAAACTATTCAGAATTGATTACTGTTACGACTATCAATAAGGCATATGGTCGCATGTATTGCTTATCTTATCTTTGTATAAGTTACCAACTCCGATATAGATGGGGGGGGGACAATGATTTCATTTTATACAATATGTGTAATATGTAAAGATGATGTAGGAATGACGAAGCAAACGAATCCTGTCTTAGTTACGTAGACTAGCCAGATGTTTAGATATTCTTTTGTTAAATGTATTTAAACACATAGATATGTAAACATCATTAAGAGTAAAAGAATTTTTCCACAAATAATAAAATCTTTTTTTGTTTCTTTTTTTTGTTGTTGCTTATCTCCTACTTGCTTCCAATCAATAATATTGATGAAACCTATTCTACTTATCATCAGATGAAAGTGGTCGATGCATTCCGTATGGGACTTGGACCACATATTGATTTGGAGCAACGTAGAAGTATTGGTTCATTGGCATTTAGACAACGTCAAAATTCTAGTATTGAATACGTGGATGCTGATGCTCCAGATGAATCTTAATTATATCTATCTGTTTAAATACGCTTATGCGTTTATGTTTGTATGAAAGCATGAGCATCGATATTGATGTCAGCGCTCGATATATTGATTAAACACTATACAGAATTATACCTTTTTAATCCATACTTTACCCTAATAGATAGTTGATCATATCAATTATTATAAAGACCTAAACATATGCGAAATTTGTATTTCTTTCCTCCGTATATACAAAATCTCCCTATCTCTCTCTCTCTCTCTCTTTCTCATACACACACCTCCACACATAAGCTACAACTCTCTACGTCCGTGTGTGTGTGTGTGTGCGGGTACGTGCTCAATTTTCTTAAATAAACGGTATGTAATTAGCATTATATTGTTGATGTTGCCATTGTCTCTGCTGTTATTGTCGTTTATTCTTATTTTCATGAATTGACGATCCCTCCTTCCAACATTGATATACAATATATATACACATGTAATGATAGACAATATGTATTACATACATTTTATTTTCGCTTTAAGGTAACGTTGTTCTTGTTGTTGTTGTTGTCGTCGTCGTCGTCGTTATATTGTTCGTTTGTTATTTCCTCAATCTTTCATCTTCATTCAGTTCTTCGTTTGTTTGTTTGTTTGGTCGTTTGTTTTTCTTCATTCTCTTCTCTCTTTTCTTTTTCTTTTGTTGCCTATATTGATTATTATTTCTCTATTTTGTTTTTCTCTTTAATATTTTATAAAGAATTTTAATAATGAATACTGATTAAATAATTCAAGAGATTATTTGTATTATTGACAATGTTACTTTAATTTCTCATTTGATTTTATTCAATATTATTATTAGTTTTTAAAAAGAATTTTTTTTAAATTCTGGCCTATTATTAGTAGTATATTAATAGTAGTATTGTAACAAGGTATTCATTGTTGCCTTTTTTTTTCTAAAAAAAAACATCAATAATTGATCCAATAATGATCATATTTCTCTTGTCTTTTTTTATTGAAATGAACCCGTTTCTTATCCCTCTGTCTCTATCTCATGCATATATATATTTGTACAGTGTGTTGTTGTGCGGACTCGAAGCATGAGATTTGCTAATGTTCTGTACTCCCCTTCTCTCTCTCTGTCCCTTTGTGCGTGTATGTCTATCTGTCTCCATCCTTCTCTTTGGAACTACTGCTAATTTAATCCGTTTTGATTTCGTCTGATCTCTTTTTTTCTCTGAGTATTCGAAATACTACTGATCTATTTTATTTACGTATATGTTTGTTTACACAAAATGGAGATATAACCAAACAAGATCTGATTACATAGTTTCTCCTTTATATATAGGTGTATGATGATTTGTGTTTGTTATTGTGTGTGTGTGTATTCACTAGTGCCGATGAACGAATTGCTTTTTGCTCTCTTTTTTTGGCTTCATTTCCTTATTTTTTTTAAAACAAACAACTTAACAGTATTCACAAGAAACCAATGGTATACGTCAATAAATGAATTTCCTCTTTTTTTTCTGGTTGACGAATTTATTATTTCACTTCAACAACTAAGTTTTTTCGTGTTACACACCACTCACACACACACACCCCTTTACATTAATTTAGTTACTCTCTATATTTTTGCTAATAAGAAATCAAGTTGTGCATATGCAAAGTGATATGCACATATGCAAGTTGAGTATGTATATTGTATTCGGTTTGTGTCTATCGGATTCATCGGTACGACTGTTACTACTACTACTACTACTACTACTACATCATGTGTTGTCTTCATGTTGTGAAATGAACAAGTCTAAGATATTTTGAAGGAGAAATAATCTTTAACAGAATTATTGCAGAAGTGTTTGTTTACTCCCACCACTACCACCATCCCCTTACACACACATTGACAGTAGTTGTCAATATGATGAATTGATATATCACACTGTTCATTTTCTCTGTTTTCTTAATTTTTTTTCTGCTTAATCATTTGATTACCCATATTTCCAATCCTTGTTTACCCTTCTGCCTCTCATTCATGTTTACATGAAGCTGCTTATGTATGTATGCATGTATGTATGTACGTGTGTTAATTTGTTTATATTCACATATTCAATACATGTAAACTAGACATCATTCATTCTTCTTTCCATCTTCATTATCTTCATTTTGTTTTATCAATTATGTAATAATGAAAGGGTGGAGTGTTTCTTTATTATCAATCAATCCCTTGTTCATTTGTTCATCTTCTTCTAAATGTTATTATACCAGGGTTATCATAATTTAAATGAATTTTTTGTTGTTGAATAACTATAATAAATAAACTCAAATTAGTTGCCTTGTTTTTCATAAATACAAAAATGCAATCTATTTCCATATTACGATCATGTGTAATTTTATAATGGTGCATATTGTACGATCCTCTTGCTCAAATACAGGTATATATATATACATAGATATTGAATGTGTCAATATACCTGTTGTTTAATGTTTAATCATTTGAATTCATACTCTTATACTTTACAACCTTCTTGTATGTATGTACAATTGTGTACTTCTATACATTCACAAGAGGTACTCTATGTGTGTGTATGTGTGTTAATGTGTGAGTGAATGTTTATTTTTATAACATGTTTATTGCTCCCTCTCCCCCCTCTCTCTCTCTCTGAATTCGATTATGTTTACATGTCATAGTTACAATAAGGAAATTTATTTATCACACATGATTAATAAATAAATAAATAAATAAAGAGAAGTAAACAATCGATAAATGAAAAAAAACAATCAAAATGAATAAATAAATAAAAAAAAACAAATCAGTGACAATAATATTAACCGCCTATTACCTACAACTTATTATTATTACAATAATAATTATTATTATTACTGCTGCTCTAAGGTAAACAATGTTTGTTTCATTATATATTATTATTATTACTATTATTACTATAATTATTATTGATTTTTCACAAATACACTTCCTATCCAAACTATTATTCACACCCACTATCCTATTGAATAATTTATTGATCAGTAATATTCTTTCTCTCTCTCCCAGTTTTTGTTGCACTAAAATTAAATAAAACAAACAACAACAATAAAAAAAAAGAAAAAAGAAAAGTAAAAATAAACTTTTATGATTGGTCGTTTATTTCAATTATAAATAATAATAATAATAATAATAATAATAATATTGTATTGTTAATAATATGAATACCATTACTTCTATTATAATTCATATCTTTATGTTTTTCTTCTTCTTTTTCTTTCTCTATTTTTTCTTCTTTAATTTGACTTTGTTTCATTGATGAAAACAATTAGAGAAGTGAGATGGGTGGAGGGGAATATGTATGATGATTTCTAACAGTATCTAATCAAATGGAAAGTGATTTTCATTTTGAGTTGATGAATTGAACACTTTAGAACTGTCAATAGTTAAACAGTATTCAGATTAAATAGTAAATATGACTCAGTTCATGTACTTATTTCGCTTACTTACTTACTTACTTACTTACTTACTTACTTACTTACTTACTTACTTACTTACTTACTTACTTACTTACTTACTTACTTACTTACTTACTTACTTACTTACTTACTTACTTACTTACTTACTTACTTACTTACTTACTTACTTACTTACTTACTTACTTACTTACTTACTTACTTACTTACTTACTTACTTACTTACTTACTTACTTACTTACTTACTTACTTACTTACTTACTTACTTACTTACTTACTTACTTACTTACTTACTTACTTACTTACTTACTTACTTACTTACTTACTTACTTACTTACTTACTTACTTACTTACTTACTTACTTACTTACTTACTTACTTACTTACTTACTTACTTACTTACTTACTTACTTACTTACTTACTTACTTACTTACTTACTTACTTACTTACTTACTTACTTACTTACTTACTTACTTACTTACTTACTTACTTACTTACTTACTTACTTACTTACTTACTTACTTACTTACTTACTTACTTACTTACTTACTTACTTACTTACTTACTTACTTACTTACTTACTTACTTACTTACTTACTTACTTACTTACTTACTTACTTACTTACTTACTTACTTACTTACTTACTTACTTACTTACTTACTTACTTACTTACTTACTTACTTACTTACTTACTTACTTACTTACTTACTTACTTACTTACTTACTTACTTACTTACTTACTTACTTACTTACTTACTTACTTACTTACTTACTTACTTACTTACTTACTTACTTACTTACTTACTTACTTACTTACTTACTTACTTACTTACTTACTTACTTACTTACTTACTTACTTACATCAGGTCTGTTACCTTCAATGGAGCATGGGCTTCGGATAAGTATTCTCCAACCCACTCTGTCCTGGGCGTTTCTAGTTCTATCCAACTGTACCGAGTTGGTTTTTTAAGCGTATTAATTTTACACTCAATTAATTGACCACTGATTAGTGATCAATATTGGGTTGTCATTGGGTTCCATTGATCAGGTTTGAAGTAGGTATTCTCCGGTAGGCGGATTAGAATTACACACGAAACATTAGTCCCTTTAAAACTATAGATACGCTATGATAACGACTGTCAATTCTCATGAAACATGGGTCCAGTATACCTTACCGATTATCTTCAGCTACCTAACTTATTGTTTGTATAATTTTGACTAAGTATGCTAAGAAAAAGTAGAATAAATTCAATTCAGCTAAGACCTATTTCAGATTCTATGATTTTGTTGAAATAAAAATGTGACAGAATAGATTCAACTTCATTTGTAAATACAAAACATTATTTACATAATATAAGTCTATATAATCAACTTTAAGATATACGATTTGTATAAACGTTAAAATAAAACTATCTGGATTGAAAACGTGGTCTAATGATCATGAATACAAATTGCTAAGGTGTTCCATATTAAGATAAAACTACCTTCTACGTATTTCCTCACCTAACTTGGATCTGTTTTCATGAAATCAATAAAATTTGTAATTGTCAGTTTTGATAATCCATTCTCAATATTTTATAGATCA